GTTTGCTAGACCAGGGTGGTCTCAGACTTACAGAGGCCCACCTACCTTAGCTTCTCGGGGACTGGGACTAAAGGTGTATGCCGCAACGCTGATTCTCACAGTGTTTTCTGAGGCAATGTATCTTACTGAGTCCTTGGCTCCCTTTTGGATTAGGCCTGAGCCTGAGGGATCCCCCTATCTCTGTCCGCCTAGTGCTGGGTTTAAGTGTCTACTACTACACTGACTGTTCTACTCCTGTTTCCTTATCTATGCCTGTGAAACGGTGGCCATGCTCTGCCATTCTTGTGAGGATTAAAGAAAAAACATCAATCATGTAAAGCCCATAGCTATACCATCTGCTTACCACAAAACCTCTCTTCCTCTTTTCTTTTCCTCTCTGGGAAGCCCCTCAGGAGGAGCTGGGCTCGTGATGCCCTTGATTTTCACAGGCAATGACAGCCACACACAGTCAGCAGGCTGACTAGGTCATTCTGGCCCATGGTTTGCAAACTGGTGGGTCTGAAGCTAGAGCCAGACCTGGGAATGCTTTGTTTGAGCTACCGAGTGACACTAGAAAACAAACAAAAAACAAGCATAAAAGAAAAAACTCAAAAAAACAAAACAAAACAAAAACAAAAAACAAAACCTTCATCACCATCATTGATGTAAGGAGATATTACATAATACCTGGTTTTCTATTCTCTCCCAATATTTTGGCAGAGCTGGCAACTCTAGGCTCACGTCCCATCATTCTAAAACAAGTTCTACAACTGACCAGACCAAGGCAGTGCAAACCTCTAATCCCAGCACTTGGGAGATGGAAGGCAGGATGATAGGCGTTTAAGGTCATCCTGGTTTGTGGAGAGAGTGCCATGCCAGCCCAGGCTGCATGAGGCCTTGTCTGAAATAAATAAACAGACAACTGTCTACTCTTGGCTCAGCTGGACTTCTCAAGGTGGCTTCTGCTCCTCCTCCATGAGGTGGTGGCTTTCTTTAGTTCCCAGCCCTCCCTATTACACTACAGCCAGGACACTTCACCTAGCAGAGTCCTCAAGACATTATTTATGGTTGGAAGTCTGCTGCTATAGGCCATTCACTCATTCACTCATTCATTATCAAAAAGCTAGGAGCAAGCAGTGCTCCGTCCCCCGTGTGTGTGTGTGTGTGTGTGTGTGTGTGTGTGTGTGTGTGTGTGTGAAGTTATGGTGTTTAATAAGGCCAGAAAAAAAAAAATCAGTGTTAGATAGTGGTATTGATGACACAACCATGTTAGATAAACATTTCTAAGATGTGCTAAATAATAACAAGGGCCAGAAGCCGCAGAGGAGCAACAGGGAACTTATTTAGTAGCACGACCGATGCTCACCAATACCCTCACTACAGAAACATCCCACAATTCTGAATGTTCATATCAAAAGTTTGACTCAAAGAACGAAGGGATGTCTGCCTGGAGACCCTGCACTGTGCTTGCAACTCAACCAACCCAGAAACAACTCTGCTCCCATGGACCTTCCCATTCCGGAACGCTCCCTGATCTGCTGTTTCTTACCCCTCTTTTCAGTGAAAAGGCTTTGATTTCCCTCCTCAACTTTTGTTATGAAAATGATCTTGGGGTCTAGCGTGGTGGTGCACGCCTTTAATTCTAGCACCTGGCAGGCAGAGGCAGGCTGCTCTCTGTGAGTTTGAGGCCAGCCTGGTCTACATAGCCAGTTCCAAGCCAGCCAGAGATACACAGTGAGATCCTGTTTAAAAAAAAAAAAAAAACTAAAACTAAAACAAAAATCCTGTTCTTGGACAAGAAAAAGTAACGAAGGCTTGTGTGTGTGTGTGTGTGTGTGTGTATGTGTATATATGTATGAATATGGACAGATTTATACACACACATTGATATACAGGCATATAGTGATACATATGTGTGTGTGTGTGTGTGTGTGTGAAAATGTCACAATAAACCCCATTGTGTTGTGTATTAAAAATGAGGGTAGAGAGCTGGATGCAGTGGCGTACCCCTTTAATCACAGCAGAGGCAGAGGCAGGCAGATCTCTGTGAATTCGAGGCCATCCTGCTCTAGGCCAGGGCTCTGTTACACAGAGAAAACAACAACAGCAACAGCAACAATTTGGTTATGGTCATGCGTGTGAATGGGCACAACTGTGCACACAGGCCAGAGAGAGAATAGCAGATGTCTTCCTCTGTGGTGTTCTACCTTATTTTCGGAGACAAGGTCTCTCAGTGAACCTAAAACTTGTTATTTTTTTAGGTTGATTGCCAATGAACTCTGGGGATGTTTCGCTGCCCCCAACACTGGGGTTATAGCAACCCACAGTCATGTCCAGCTACATGAGTGCTGCTGATTTACACTCACTCTGAGTCATCTTTCCTTCACAGCCTAAACTTTTACTCTTTGTTTGTTTGTTTTTGATTTGTTTGTTTTTGTTTGATTATAGTCCCGTGCCTATAATCCTAGCACTTGGCAAATAGAGGCAGGAAGATAGCTATAAATTTGAGGTCATGATGGTCTCCGTAATGAATTCCAGGCCAACCAGGGCACTGGCTGTTCTTCCAGAAGACTCTGGGTTTGATTCCCAGCACTCAAAAAGCAGCTCCAGTTGCAGTGGGTCTGATGACCTCATCTGGCCTCCATGGGCACCGCGTGGACATACATGCAGGCCAGACTCCCACACATATGAAATGAATCTTAAGAATAAAAAACCAGAGGTGTGATCGCTCACCTCTGTAGTCTTAGTGCTTGGGGAGGGGGAGGCAGGAGGACCAGGAGTCTAAAGCCAGCCTCCATTCCACGAGAGTTTGAAGTCGGCGGACTATACGAGACCCTGTTTCAAAAAAAAAAAAAAAAAAAAAAAAAAAAAGTAAATTAAGTTCTTGGCTTGTAGGTCTAGTGGGTATGTTTTCATGTGCTATTTGACTTTCTGCAGAAGGTCTTGGGAACGCTGCCTTCCTTGGCAGGAGTTGGTAACGATTCAATAAGCTCTTTTATTTCCGAATCTCTGGGCCTCAAGAGCTTTGCTCTAAGGTTAAGTCAATAGAGCATGTCCGTAAATCGAAATACTTGGGAGGCTGGAGTGAAAGGATTTGATCTTTTGTTTTGCTTTGCTTTTCAGCAGGGTCTCATTCAAGGCTGGCCTCAAATTTGCTACATAAGCATAGGATAACCTTGAACTTCTGAATTTCCTGCTTCTGCCTCCCAAGTGCTGGGACTATAGGCATGTTCACAATGCCTGGCTTGGCAGAAGCAACTTTTGAGTTAAAAGCCAGTGTAGGCTATGCAGTGAGACTGTTTAAAAGGCAAATGGTTTCTGTTTCACATCCACGGAGACACACATTTTCAGTGTGGGCTGGAATACAGCTCAGTGGCAGAGCTCATACTTTATTTTGTTGATTTTTGTTTGTTTTTGAGATGGGGTTTCTTTGCATAACTCTGGCTGTCCTGGGACTAGCTCTGTAGACCAGGCTAGCCTCGAACTCACAGAGATCCTCTTGTCTCTGCCTCCCGAGTGCTGGGATTACAGGTGATAGATCTAACACATACTTGGTGTGTATTAGTTCTTGTGTTCAATCCTCAGGACCAAAAAATTAATATAAAATTTTTAAATGGTTTAGTTTTGGGTATGGCGGTGAGTGCCTGTAATCCCAAGCACTTGGGAGATAGCGGGAGGAAGACTATTAGTTGAAGGCTATCCTTGGCTACATATCAAATTCAAGACCAGCCTGGGCTACCTGAGTTTATCTACAAAAAACAAAACAAAACAAAACAAAACACACACACACACACACACACACACACACACACACACAAAAAAAACAACCCATCATTATCACAACAAGAAAAAAAAAAAGGAAATGGCTAAAATGGTAAAATTCATGGTAAGTATACTTTACCACAGGAAGTTTAATATTAATTTCATGTCAAATAATTTTAACATATAAAACTATAGTCAACAAATGATATGGATACAGGCTGGGAGGTAGGAAGCAGAGATCGATAAAACAAAGCGCCAGGCAGTGGTGGCACTCACCTTTACTCCCAGCGCTCCGGAGGCAGGGGCAGGCAGATCTCTGAGTTCCAGGCCATCATGGTCTACAGAGCAAGAAACTGATAAAGCAAAACCATATCCTGGCCAGAGTCTGCAACAGTCCTTGTCCAGGTGACCCAGGGTCAAAAAACTATCCAACACAGAGGAAGCGCCTATGACACCTGGACTTGATTCTAAGAAAACAGCTCTGAGTTCTGGAAAAAAGCTGGCTCCTTTGAAGATAAGACCCCAGTAAAAATCCAGACTCCATGGCCAGGGTGACAGTGAAGCCTGCCTGAGGACAAGGGTTCAATCCCCAGCCTCTGTGTCTCCAGTGTATGCTTGTTCTTGTTCTGTGTGCTCCAAGAAGCCTGCCTCTTTTTGTTAAGCCTCTTTCTGTACATGTACTGAAACAAGGTCTTGCTCTGTAGCCCAGGCTGCCCTGAACTCGTAGCACTGCTCCTGCCTTAGTCTCCAATGCTGGGATTATAGGCACGCACCACCACACTGGCTTTCCTTGGATTTCTTTCACCGAGGACACCCCGAGACTGCAGTCTGGTAACTTAGGTAAGCGGAGTCTGCCAGCGTCAGTGTGCTTTGCTGGGATGGGGGTAGAGCGGCCAGGGAGGCTCTGGCCACCACCATTGTGTTTAGTGAGATGGACACCAGCAAACAAATTTTTAAAAAATACTTATTTATTATGTATACAACATTGTGTCTGCATGTACACCTGCATTCCAGAAGAGGGCACCAGATCTCATTATAGATGGTTGCAAGCCACCATGTGATCGCTGAGAATTGAACTCAGGACCTCTGGAGGAGCAGTCAGTGCTCTTAACCTCTGAGCCATCTCTCCAGCCCATGAACGAATATTTTATTTTGGTTGAACAAGGCTACAGAGAAGAGGCACAAGGCATCATTCCTACCTTACAGTAGGGAAGCGTATTTCACCCGAAGAGCTGGAGGGGCCTTAGGCTATGGTCGTGATGGTAAAAACAGCAAGAATACCAACAGCCCAGACACCGGCGCCGGAGTACCCGGTGCTCCCACCCACAGAACCTCCCACTCTTGACCTCTTTCAGGTGAGGAATAAACTCTCATCTTGGTCAGGCTGAGCAACTGTTTTGAGTTTTCCTCCACTTGCCGCAGCACAGAAGCTCCTAACCCTTAATAACACTCTTGCAGTTGACATAAGAGGCTGCTTCGTGGTGAGCTCTCTCAGCCCTCCATGCTTTTCCTGCACCAGTGCAAGCCATTTGCAGTGAGATCACCCACTATGGACATGTCACAAGCCAAAGCTTGTGAAACCGTATCTGTTTTCGTAGTCGCCAGTACGTATTTATATTCGCTGTTACACCCCAGCATTAGTTCACAGCAAGGAACTAAAGTTCCTTGGACTGGTGGATGCTTAATACTTCTTGAATATGTGGGTGGGTGGATGGGTGGGTGGGTGGTTGGATAGGTGTATGTATGTATGTATGTATGTATGGATGGATGGATGGATGGATAGATCTAGAGCAGAATCACCAATTCAACTGCCTACTGAAGCCTGCTAGGTAATGCAAATGAGAAAGGAGGGCTGGCTCTGTGTCACAGTGCAGCTGTTTGCATACCAGGCTGTAAGAAAACAAAGCCAGAGGAAGGGGAATCAACACCTAGCTGCCTTTAAAGCACAACTCAGAGATTTTGTCTGACACTTACCTTTCAGTTCATTCACAAAACCGAGTCACTTGGCCAGTCTGACTGCAGAGAAAGCTTGAAAATGTGTGTCATATCTGGGTCGCTAAAGCTAGGCCTGTCATCCCGGCTAGTTGAGAGGCTGAGATGGGAGTTGGAGACCAGGCTGGGTAATATTGGTAAGATCCCATCTCGAAATGAATAATAAAAATTGAGCTCAGCTAAAATTTGTGAGTCCTGGGGCTAGGGAGATGGCTCAGTGGACAAAAAGCATTTGTCTTGCCAGGGTGAGGGTTGGAATTTAGATTCTCAGAACCCACATAAAGCCAGCTAGATGCAGCAGAGGAGGTCTGTAACCCCAGCACTCCTACGGTGAGATGGCAGGCAGAGACAGAGGAACTTCGGCAAGCTCGTGAGCTCAGGATATGCAGCATCGAACAAGAGACTATTTCTCAAATGAGGTAGAAGGCAGAGAGCTAAAACACTCAGGATTGCCCTTTGACCTTACACGTACTCACTGGTACACTCAGAATAACACCCCCTCTGTCTGCCTGTATGTCTATCTGTCTCTTACACATACACATACATGCAAAAAAAGAAATAATTGAGGGATCAATTACTAAGAAGAAAGAGAAAACAGATTTGAGACATAGCTAGGATCTAACGAATGAATAAAAAGTTCCTTAGATTTGTGGTTCCCAAGTGTATGTGTGGCCTGTGGACCCTTAGGAGGCTCTGAAAACTTCTGGGGGGGGTCTCAAAGGGCAAACTAGTTTCATAAAAATGACAGGACACTATCTGCCTGTCGCTGTGCTGCACCCCAGGGAGGCTGCAAGAGCTAGCTTCCTGGGTGAAACTACTGCCTGAGCACAAAGCAAGGTAGCAGCACGAAAATGCACCATGGTCCCTCACTGCTGGACACTTGCAACTTAAAAACATGTCTCTCTCTCTCTTTTTTTTTTTAACTGTCTTTGATGAAACAATAAAAGTTATTAAGATGCAACCCTTGGGAACATGGTGTTCTGAAGCAGGAAGTGGCAGGGAGCGCCTTTGATGCAGATGAAGCTGCCATAGTTGCCATGAGTAGAAACACATCCCTCTCCATCGTGGGTGTTCCAGCCGAGCTAAACTTTCAGTCTCTTTCTCTTTCCTTCGTCTTCTTCTTAATATTTTTATTTATTTTTCGCAGCCAGTACTCTTAACTTTTGAGCGGCCTCCCAAGCCATTCTTGTTTAGAGTTAGCGTGCAAACTGATGGATTTCATTATGGCATCTTCATACATAGCTATCATCACACTTTGTTCTTTTCTTAGTCTTCCTGTTCCCCTAAGTCCCTCTTGCTGAAGTAGCCACCTTCTTTTTAAGGGTTTTTAATTTTGTCTTGTTTGGTTGTTGTTGTTGTTTTAATGTGTATGGGTATTTTCCCTACATGTCACGTCTACACATCCTATGATGTGACTGAGGAGGTCAGAAGATGGAGCAGACCCTCTGGAGCTGGAGTTTCTGGCAGTTGTGAGCCGCCTGCGTCCTCTGGAAGAGCAGTCGCTGTTCTTAACTTCTGAGCCATCTTTCCTGCCCACAGGTGTTCCTTTTAGTGATCACTCTGGCTGCTGTGTGGAGCATGACCTGGAGGAAGGGAGAAGACGAAGTGCCATGGCCAGCCCAGCCACGGGTATCAAATGTACCTGGAAAGGAGGGTAATGGGAGACAGAAACCCAAGGCTCTGGGTTCACTTCAAGAATGAACAGTTTCGCCAGATGCAATTGGCGCACACCTGTAATCCCAGCACTTCGGGGGGTAGAGGCAGGCGGATCTCTGTGATTTCAAGGCCAGCCTGGTCTACAGAGTGAGTCCAGGACAGCCAAGGCTACACAGAGAAACCCTGTCTCAAAAAACAAACAGGCAAACAAACAAATAAAAATGAATCATCTTTATTTTTTCCACCACTGTTTATATATTGTTTCTCTAGCTATTAGAGAGTGTTGCGAGCAGAGCTTGAACAAGCAGTACCTTTGTCCCTTATATGAGTTTTTCTTTCCATACTTCTCTGTTTGTGACTTTGATTTGCCCCAGAAGACATTTCCTCCTAGGTCTCATCTGTGCCTGCAGTTTTCCAAAGCTAGGACATGGGATGGAGGGGCAGGAGCTACTGTGCCAGCAGAGAATGGAGATGTCACCCTGACTGGAATGGTAGTATTGGTGCAGAGCCCCCTGGAGAGATTTTGGAGACATTTAGATGGTGATGTCACAGAATTCATAAATAGATACAGGAGAGGGGTTGGTGGTGAGGAGGTAAAGGGTTGCATTCAAGGCGCTTGGCTTGGGTAGCTTAGACGGTGATACCTTCACTCAGTGGGAAACTCGGGACAAAGTTGTACGGGTGCTAAGTTAGTCTGGAACTGGTCTGATATGTGTAGAAGTCACTGTCTGTGTCTTAGTCACTGTTCTATTGCTGTGAAGAGGCGCCATGACCAAGGCAACAAGCAGCAAGACCAAGGCAACTCTTATGAAAGAAATCATTTAAATGGGAACTTGTTTACAGTTTCAGAGGGAGTCCATCATCATCATCATCATGGTGGGTATGGCACTGGAGCAGTAGCTGAGAGCTACATCTTGGCCCATAGGCAGAAAGATGGGGGTTGGGACCGAGCTTGGCACAGGCTTTTAAAACCTCAAAGGTCACCCCTGGTGATATGTTTTCTCCGATAAGGCCACACCTCTTAATCTTTATAATCCTTTCAAATAGTGCTGGAGAAATGACTCAGAGGTTAGGAACACTGACTGCTCTTCCAGAAGACCCGGGTTCAGTTCCCAGTTACCCACATGGCAGCCCACAACTGTCTGTAACTCCAAGATCTGACACCCTCACATAGACACACATGCAGGCAGAACACCGATGCTCGTGCAATGAAACGAAGGAATTATTTAAAAAGAAAATAGTGTCACTCCCCGGTGACTAAGCATTCAAATATATGAACCCTCCGAGGCCATTCTTAGTCAAATCACCACCTGCTGGTAAACATGCCAGCGGAGCTTTTCAGTGGGAAGGTGGGTGTGTGCCCGCAGAGCTCTGGGCCAGAGGAGAATATATGAGATGAATGTTGGCACCAGGGTGACCCGTGGTCACTCTTGGTCCTCTCAGATATCCACCTTTCGGCCCAGGCTTTCTCTGCCACATGTTTGGCCTCTGCTAATCAAAGCGCTGGCAGAAGCCACACCGCACAGATGTGCTCAGGCTGTGGAGCAAGAATAACTCTGTGGGATGCCGCAGCTGCTCTCAGGTCCTCACTATGGGATGTTTACCGTGTTTGTTAACAAACGTGTCCAAAACAGCGACCCTCCTCTTCCTGTGACAGGGGCCGTGCCATCGAAATGGCTTCTCCATGCCTTCTCTAGAGAGCAGACACACAGGAGTCTCATCAGGCTTTTTGCATCTTGGTGGTATGCTACCTACTCAGCCTCCAGGAATGGAGTAAGGTAGAAGCAGACCCCTCCGTCTTCAGCTGCCGTGGGGCTATGTTGATCCTTGCTCTTTCCCTCTAGGCTCTTATATCATTGCTAAACAGCCTACTTAGTGGATTTGTTGACCGATGTAATCTAACGTATCTATTGATTCTTTTTTTTTTTTTTGCTATTTTTTAAATGTGGCGTTACTATGTAGATAGCCCGGTCTGGCCTTGAACTTGTGATTCTTCTGCCTAAATCTCCCAAGTGCTGGGGTGACAGGTGCCCCTAAGCCCTGCCTCATGTTGGCCCCATCTGGCTGTGTCAGCCTTTTTATTGTCACCAAACAGACAGCAGTGATGTTCCAGGCTCTAGCCTGCTCCTGCTGAGGTATTTCCAGTGACTTTGGCCTTTTTAATTTGTCAACTTCTCCAACAACTGGGGTGGGGGGAGGTAGGGAGGGACTCCTGAGGGCTGGCCCACGTCCGCCGCCCGCTGTGTAGACAAGCCTCACCAGCAGGCTTCCTGTCTTTTCATTTACGAACATCTGCAAAAGACGTAGCAAGACTCTCTTCCTCACTAGGCACCTGTTTGCAAAGCTCCGGGCCCTCACGCAGACGCACCTGTGCAGCAAGCAGAGAGGAGGACTGGCCAGAGGTAAGAGGGGCATGCTCCTTCATTCCCTCGTAGCTGGTATCAAGGGCAGCGAACAAAGCGGCAGATCTGCTGGAATGTTCTGGACTCGGCTCTCTGTTCCCAGCTTCCGTATTTCTCTCAGAACAGGTCATGAACAGTGAGCTCCCACTGGAATCATGAGCTCCAAAAGGCTAAGCTGTAAACCATCCTCAGCTCTGCCCGCCCCACTCTCCCAGCATGGTGTAGTGCTCTCTGGGCAGCAGGTGCCCCACGGCACACCCTGAAGCTGGGAAGAGAGAAAATGCAAAATAGTTAAGGAGAGCAGGGGAGATTAGAAAAAATGAACAGGTATTGAGGATGGAGGAGACATAAGAAATAAAAAGAGAAACAGAAAAAAATAATAAACAAACCAGAAAAGCATGAAAAAAAAAAAAAAACCACAGCGGACTACTCGCAAGTTTTGAAAAATCTTCACTAAGGATTATATAGTCAAGAACAATTTAAGCCACTCAGTCTGTGTGGCCTCTTTCAACTCTTTGGTGCTTATGTGAACTCTTAAACTCTTGTCTTCTTCTGTGATGTTTTAGGATTTGGGCTGGTTGTGTTTGTTCACGAGGTTCCTGGGCTGCACTCAACACCCTAGGTTTTGGGTGCTACCCTTGCCCCAGGCCCCCCAATAGCTGGTTCCATCCCACATGCCGCTGTGTCCTGGATTGATATTTAGGAGTTTTGAAATGTCTAAGGGAACTCTGTTTTAGTTAGCCTGAGGTAAGAAATGGGGAAGATAGATTATCAGAAAGTGTTAGAACTAGCCTCTTCAATATGAAGCGCTGTGAAGAGATACTCTTCTTTTGGTAGACATATTATCGGAACAACTAATTCTAAGAAGATTAGTCCTGGCTACGGACCCCAGTGGGCTCGGTGGGAAGTGGACCAGGGCAGGACTCTATTTCTCAAGATGGGGTGAGCTGTCCAACTCTAGCCCCGTCCCAGCTCAGACCCTCCTCCTCTCCTAGCACCACATGGTCCTGAAATCATGCTGTGTTCCTGAACATTCTTCAGTCCATAGCCCGGAGAGCGGTCTCCTGAGGTTCTGGCCGATCCTTCAAAATAGGAAGGTTCCATTTTGATAACTCAAAGACTCGACCGAATGGGATCGGGCTTTCCGAATGCCCTGCTCTTGTAGGGCGCAGGGGTGGGTTTTTGTTTTGTCTTGTTTTGTCTTGTTTGTTTGTTTTGGTGAGCAAGGCCTGGAGAAGAACCTGATGAGGGACAGCGATGGTACTTGTGCTGTCTTAGAGTCTAGAAGTTGCACAAAATGGCCGTCCAGCTCTGCTGATGAAAGAACCCCAGGAGCCAGATGCTTGCGTGTCCCTGTCAACCTGGGAAACACCCACAAGGGGCCTGCTTCTAAATACAAGCTCTCCCCGACCTCACTCAGTTCTAGGCAGAGCCTTGAGCCTTGCCCTTGACCACAGTGGTTGGAACTGGGAGGCCAGGTCCAGCCCAGGCCCAGCCCAGGCCCAGCCCAGGCCCAGCCCAGTTGAGTCGCTTAGTAAGTGTTTGGTGGGTTGAATCACTTGGGTGGGGATGGGAAACGAGACGGCTGAGGGGAGGATGCCCACGGGTGGGTGTCTGTGTCGAATGCTGCTTGCCGGGCGGCGTAGACGGTTCTTTCAAAGGCGAGGGAAGAGGGGGGTACGAGCCCCCGCCCGCCCCCACTCACCCCACCGTGTGTGGGCTTCTGAGGCAAAGGAGAGGGTGGCAGAGGTTGCAGCCACCGAACCACAAGGGTCGCTTAGAGGGTCACAGCTCTAGGAAGTTGATGCGAAGCTAGTCAGGAGGCGAAGGGTGTGCGGCGGCGGGGGCATCCCACAACTGGGCCAGAGCGGGCTGCTGGGAGGGGGGGCCTCGAGGGGAAGATAAAAATGCCCGTGGGACCGCAGGCTGTCGCTGTGGTGGGGCTGCGTCCTCCTCTCCCATCTCTGGGGGGCCCTGTGAGGGTGGCAGGGACCTCAAGCTCCTGGAAGTTCTGCGGTACGTGGTGTCGTGGTACTGTCTTTTGTGTGGTCCCCGTCTGTCTCTTTTTGGCCTAGTGTTGGCTGCATGCATCTCGCCTCACCAGAATTCCTTCTCGACTGCGTCTCTCTATCATTTCTGACAGGCTCTGTGCTTTTTGAGTCTTGGTGGATCCTGTGAAGGGCAGCTATTGTTGTAATGACCTTTCCGAGTCCCTTCCTCCATCCCTTCTGTCTTCCCTTGAGTCCCCTGTGTTTAGGTTTGTTTTGTTTTTTTTTCCCCCCCAGAAAACCTGTCCACTCTTCTTTGTCCACCATGTCGTCCCTCCTACTCTGCAGCCAGTTCCTCTTACATCCACCGCTCAGGTCTAGCCCACGGTCTGCAGCTTCCTGTCAGAGCAGAGCTTGTGGAGGATCAGCTGGCCTGTCTTCCACATGAAGCCAGGCTGCATGTTTACAGGGTAGAAGGCTCTAGGTCGCGGTGGCATCTGGGGTGGGGGAAGAGGAGAGAGGAGAGACAGGGGTCATTCCAAGGTGAAGAGAATAGTAATGGCTGCAGCTCAGAGAAAGACACCCAGGGAGCTGAAGACCGAGCCGTAAGCTATGGGAAACATATTTAGAAATGTAGACATGAGCAGAGAAAGGGGGAGGGGAACCTTGCAGCCAGCCAGCCCTTACATCCTTTCCCAGGGGTGCACCGGCTGCTACCATGTGAGGTGAGCGCCTCTGGAGGGCTGAGGATGTGGGAATCAAAGGCCAGGTCTCTGGGGTGGCAGCGGAAGCCTGAAACACCCGAGCAGGTTGGGGCTGGAAACCCACAGCCTCCTCCACCGAGCCAGATCCCGGGGTGCATGGCAGAGACGCCTGGAGCTGGAGCTGCACGGACTCCAGAATTGTGGGGTGAGGGAGAGAAGGTGGCTACCATCTGGGGAAGAGCCAGGGATGCCCTCGGTCCTCAAGCATCGTTACCAGAGCAACCAGAATTTCCATCTCCTGGAGGGAGAGCCCACAGAGAGACTTCGTTTCCCTGTCAACTTCCACTCATCAAGGACAGACACTCACCTGCTCATCAAGGCTCTCCATCCGAGCTAAGGGACAGTAGGAAACCTTTTTTGGGCTTGGGCTTTCATCACCACACCCTTCTTTTAAATGCTCTGCAGGTCCTACCGACAGCTAATGGGACCAGCTTGCAACCTCTTCCGTGACTATTGTGACCAGTCTCACGCCCGCCTTCCCCAGAAACCTCTCTGTTGACCGCTTCTCTTTCTTGCTCCCTGCTTGAAACAAAATGTATTCTGTCTCTCTGTGTGTCTGTCTGTCTCCCTCTCTGTATCTATTGTCTATCTGTCTATCCATCTGAAGCATCTGTTATGTTTCGGGTTCTTTAAAATTCCTCTTTCAAGCTGGGCAGTGGTGGCTGGCATGCACCTTTAACCCCAGCACTGGGGAGGCAGAAGCAGGCAGATCTCTGTGGGTTTGAGGATAACCTGGTCTACAAAGTGAGGTCAGGACAGCCAGGGCTCTTGTTACACAGAGAAACCCTGTCTCAAAAAATAAAACAAACAAATCCCTCTTTCAGCCAGTGGAGGGGGAACTGGACAGAGCTGATTCTTAGCTTCCCCCAAGCCTTATTGTTGGAACAAGTCTCCAACACCTACTCAGAGCGCTGCGTCCTTATCAAGAATTATGTATTTGGGGTCGAGAGAGAACAGTGGATAAAACTGCAAGTGTCATGGCCTGAGTTCAATCCCCAGCACTCAGGTAAAGGTGGGAGGAGAAGACTCAGCCAAGTTCTCTCACTTTCTCCCTCCCTCCCTCTCTCCCTCCCTCCGTCCCTCCCTCCCTCCTTCTCTCTCGTACACACAATAATAGATAATAATATATGTATCAGAGCCCAGCAGGAAACAAAACCCACTCTAGATGGCTCAAGGGATTGTGTAGAAAGGGACTTTTTACAGTCAGGGACAGAGGCACACAGACATAAGCCAGCAACAGTGAGGTGTTAAAAAAAAAAGAAAAAGGCAAAAATGGTGTTTCTGTACGCCAGGAAGACTCTAAATTGAGGATAAAGGCCGACAAGCAGAGTGTGCAATGGGCAGGGCAGAGGGAGGGTGGACACGCAGCTGTTGGTAGCGAATACGCCCAGAGCATGGCTAGAGAGTAGAAAAACACTCTAGCCCCTTCTAGACTCTTGCGGGGACACTCCCCTTTCCTTCTGACATTTCCTATTGGTGACCCCAAGTGGTCCCTAGAAGGCCAGGAAGCCTAAAGGACACAAGCAAGAGCAGCCATCTGCTTTAGAGGATGGAGAAGGGTAAGCAGCGTGGTGGAGTGACTCGGTCCCATCCTCGCCAGGGCGGGGTGTGGATGCGCACTTAGTGACCGCCATCCTTCTGGGCTTCCCTCCTTCCTCTGTCCCTTCATTCCTTGCAGCTACATTTCTGTAGTACCCAGGATGGAACCCAGGGCATGCTAGGCCCACCCTGCACGGCTGAGCTATGTCCTCAGCCTTCAGTGACCCGCTGAAGACACTGCAGGAACGTATCTCACATAGGAGGACGCAGCAGCGAGGTACTTGCCTCTGTTCATCCTGTTTGGCTTAAGCTAAGCAGGCGCTTTATCCGGTCTCTGCACTGCCTTGGGTGCCAGCCTGTGGTGGCTTAAGGCAGACCTGGGCCTGTCATCCCCATCCTTGTGGATGGAGTTCAGGCTAGCGGGGAAGGGATTATATGAATCACTCTCTCTTAAGATGGAAGATGGGACGTGGCCAAGAGAACATCAGCGGGGAGCTGAGTTCAGAAAGGGCAGATTGCTGTAGCGTGGCCCGGCAAGGGTGAACCAAGGAGAAAGAAAAAATCAGGCTTGGGAGAAAGAGTAATAAATAAGTCTTCAAGAATATCTCATCTCACCAGCTCTGGGCCAGATCCCTGCTGAGTCTCGCCCTGTCACTTCTCTGAGGTCCACTTATAGCCTGGGCCCTTGGGTTGCATTTGGGGTGTGTGTGTGTGTGTGTGTGTGTGTGTGTGTGTGTGTGTGTGTAAACTCCTGTTAAGACCTACTGTCAGGCCCCAAATACCTTCGTACATCAGCTCCAGGCACTGCTCTCCCAAGCTCTGTTTTCATTCTTAGCATTTCTGGCACAGCCCCTCACCGCTGCGTGCAAGGGTCTGAGAATGCTCCTCCCTCTTCTCCTCCTCCTCCTCCAGAAGACTGCCCGGGTCTTCTGGAGGTTTGTGAAAATGCAAATGACTAACTCTACACCCCAGATTTGGACCCCCAGGTGTGGGGTGGGCTCATGGATCGGTTTCTTACAAATTCTATCTCTCACATATTTCCTGGATATGCATGCAGCAGCAAAGATTCACTCTTCTAGCTCCCGTGCAACAGATGCAGGCAAATAACTGTGAGTTTGAGGCTAGTCTTGTCTGCACAGTGAGGTCCTGGCCAGCTAAGGCTGGCAGTGAGGACTGCTCTTATTCTGAACTGCTGTCCCTTCCCTTTGGTGCAGCCTCTACCTGAGGCTTTCTGCCCTTAGCCTCACTGTCAGCCTCATCCACAGGCATCGGTCCTTCTTGTCTTTGTGCCCCAGACTTCATAGGCTTTCCACTCTCTCTCTGATACTGAGCAGGAAATGAAGATTCTAGGTTTCTTTTTTGTCTTGTTTTGTTGGTTGGTTTTGTTTTCTCTTGGACCTCACACTGTTAAGGAGTCCAAATCCTGAGCATTTCATCTTAAACCAGGCAAGGGGGAAGTGCATGCCTGTAATCCCAGAGGTCAGGGAAGGAGGATCAGGGGTTCAAGGTTCTCCTTAACTAAAGAAAAGAAAAGACAGACAGACAGACAACCTGTGCCTCAACTCTCACACCTTCCAGCTGTCTTAGGGAGGCCGTATCTTTGCTTCTCAGGCTCATCTCTCATCCTACAGCTGGAGGGATCAGCTTCTCTAGAGAAGGAGAATCACCTTCTCTACCTAAAGTTCCTGAGCTTCCAAGGTCAAGGGTCTTAGCCTATATTCCAGGACCTTCAGATACTGGCCCGGCTCAGTCATCATTATTTTGCCATCTTCTCTCTAAACTGTTTTCTGGTTTCATCCACAAAGAAGTCATTCTTGGTCAGGCCACAACATTTTTAAAAATCTGAAAAAAAAAAAAAAATGACAGGGTCTCATATAGCCCAGGCTGGCCTCTAACTGTCTATATAGCTGAGGACTACCTTAAACTCTTGATTTCCTGCCTCTCTCTACCTTCTGTGCTGGGATTATTGGTATCCACCAACTCAGCTAATGCTACTCCACACCTGGTGCTCCTGAACCCAAGGCCTCACACATGCTAGGCAGGTACTTAGTAACCGAGCCACATCCCCAAACCTCACTTCAGATTCTTTGAAAGTTTTGTATTAAAACATTGCCACCGTCACCACAGCCGTTCAGCGGAAGAGCTGATGTGAGCATTTGCCTAATTTGTGCGGCCCTGAGTCCCATCTCAACAAAAATCTTGTCAAAAACGAATATACTGGGCTGGTGAGATGGTTTAGCTGGTAAAGATGCCTACTGCCAAGCCAGACCACCCAACGAGGCCCCTAAGCTCCATCTGGTGAAGGAGAGAACTGATTTCTATAACTTATTCTCTGGCCTCCACAGAAGTTATTTAACACGTGATAAAGAAATAAATAGGTTTTTAAGTAAATAAATGAATATGTCAATTTTTAAAATGAAAAAACAAGCTCTCCCCCCTTTAGTAAGGGATGTGTTTTGCTTTCAGTTTGATGCTTTTCTTTTTCTTCCTTTCTTAAAAACATTATTCTTAGGCAGTTTTGTACATGTGTCTAATGCATTCTGATTACTCACCCTCCACCTTCTTATCTTCCTCCCGCCTCTATCAACTATCCTCCCCTTTCCAGCAAGCTCCACTCCCACCTTCACGTCTTTTCAGGTTTTGTTTTGTGACCTGCCGAGTTTAACTAGGGCAGCCCCAGAGCGTGGGTACCTAGCTGCCCACTGCAATGGCAAGACAGCAGTGGCTTTACCACTGAAGACCATGACCACCCCTCCTCCAGCAGCTGTCCGATGCCCATCGTTCCTCAGGGAGAGGTGGGGTCATGAGCCCCTACCAGTCCCTGACTGGGCCCAGTCTTGTGCAGGCTCAGTGGTTTGAGGTTGGTGGAGGCTGTACCTTGGATTGCTCTCGGTCTTGGAGCAGCCTTGCTTTTGGCAAGCAGGCAAGAGACACAACCAAACCAAATAATGGGCTAGGGGTCCAGTTCAGGGGTGGAACTCTTGCCTAGCAGGTGCAAGGAGCTGGGTTGCATCTCCGGGATCATGAAACAAACAAACGAGGCAAATATGCAGCCTGGTGCAAGGTCTGTCTGTAAACATAACATGCTAAATATTTGAAAATTACAGTTATCAGGGCCAGGAGTGTGGCTCGGTAGTAGAACACACATCTGGTGTATGGGAAATCTAGGTTCTTGGCCCAACTGGAGAAAAACAAAGCAAAAAAAAAAAAAAAAAAAAAAAAAAAAAAAAAAAAAAAAAAAAAAACATTTACAATATCAGTAAAGGTGATATGGTTTACAGGTGAAATAAAGGAATCTGAAAACGGTTTCCCAAAGTTTCTGAACCTACTTGTGCCAAAGCTTCGAATAATTAGCGAAGCAACAAAACCCATTTAATAATATTGTCTCTTAAAACTAGATTTGTGTATGTGTGGGTGTATGCATGTTTGAGTTAGCATATTTGAGGGGTGTGTGGTACCCACATCAGCTTGCTTCAGTGATCCCCTACCTCTGTCTCCCGAATGCTGGGATTACAGGTGCCTGCCTGGCTTTTAAGTGAGGCCTGGAGGTCCAAACTCTAGACCTCAAGGTTGCAATGTAAACACCTTCTTCACTGGCCATCTCTCCAGCTCAAAATTAAACAAAGAGAGCAGTATTCCCTTCCCCCACTTCGGTTGTTTTTCTGAACAGGGTTTCTCTGTGTAGCTCTGGCTATCCTGGAACTCAATCTGTAGACCAGGCTGGCCTTGAACACTGAGATCCATTTGTCTCTGCCTCCTGAGTGCTGGGATTAAAGGTGGTGGGCCACCACCACCCGGCTATAATCACTTTTATTAAAATGCTAGTGGGCTCCCTGCTCCCATCTTGAGATAGGGTCTCCTATAACCCAGGTTAACCTTAAACTTGCTATATAATGAGGCTGGCCTTGAACTCCTGTGTGTGTGTGTGTGTGTGTGTGCGTGTGCGTGTGCATGTGCGTGCGTGTGCGTGTGCGTGTGTGTCTGGAACCTCTGCTGAGGTCAGAAGAGGGCATTGGATCCCTGGTACTAAAAATACAGACAGAACTATGTGGGTGCTAGGAGTCGAACCTGGGTCCTCCACAGGAGCAACAGGTGATCCCAACTACTGAGTCAACTCTCCAGCCCGTTTAGTTTTGTTTTTGAAAGAGGGTCTCACAACATAGTCCTGGCTGGTTTTGGACTCCTGGTTCTCCTGCCTCAGCCTCCGAGCTACTAAGATCACACATGTGTGCCTCTGTGCCAGGGTAGGATGCTACTACTGTTCGTGGAAGGGCCTGAAACTGTCGTTTGTATTTGACACCCTTGAATATCCTAATGTCTGTATGTATGTCAAATGCCACTATTGCTGGGGATGTTAAAACTGCTGTTGTGCTACCAATATCACAGTCTTAATTTGGCCCAGAGATTTATGGTGCCTTACTTCAGGGTGCCCACTTCAGTGTGTTAATAAGGCTCTCTGGGTTGGTTATAAAGGTCCTGAGGGAGAGAGAGAGCTCTTGTGTGCCCCAGGCCCGAGGAATACCTGAAGACTAATGACTTCTGTCTTCCTCTGTCCCTGCCACTTCTGCAGACTCAGATCTCTAGGGACTCAAGCCCGCCTGCCTCAGCAAGGCCACCGTGTCCTGTCCCAAGAAATGTCTTTTAGGCACTTGCTCCTGGTGCTGCAGCTGTGTAAGTTCTCTGACTCGGGGGGCCAGTGGCAGATGGCTCGGGAGAGAGGCAGGGCAAATGGGAAGACAAAAGAGGGGGCCCGGAGGGAGACAGCTGTAACGTTTGAAGCATGGCTTTCTTTTCTGTGAAGCGCAACTCTTGGCCGTCACTCAAGGGAAGACCGTGGTGGTGGCCAGAGAAGGCGACTCAGCGACGCTGCCCTGCGGAAATTCCCAGAAGGCGATAGCATATTTCACCTGGAAGCTCCCCGACCAGACGATGATTCTGCGAAATCCTAGATACTTTCTGACTAAAGGTAGGATTCCCTGCTCCACAATCCAGAGGGGAAAAGGAAATAGTGAGTTGAATGGAACTTGCTCTCGGAAACCTGTTCCTAGAAGTTCAAAGTTCCAGGATGGCTAGGGTCAACAAAATCTCGGTGGCCCTCTCTTTTGGGATTTCCCTTTTCCAACTGATTTCCCTTTTCCAACATGGCTTCTAGAACCCTGAGTATTTATGACTTTAATGGACGTTGCAAAAATTATCATATAAAGTATATGATTTCAAGAGTATTATTACTACAGACCACAAAGATGATGTGATACTTTGTTTACTCCCATTAAAAACAATAGCTAATGGTATCGAGTGCTTGTCTAGAGCGTATAGGGGGCTAGGTTTGATTCCCCCCCCCAAAAAAAAATCAAACAAAACAAAGCCAGGCAGTGGTGGTGCATTCACTCAGGAGGTAGAAGCAGACAGATCTTTGTAAGTTTGAAACCAGCCTGGTCTATAGAGCCAGGACAGCCAGAGCTACAGAGAGAAACCCTGTCTCAAAAAAAACAAACAAAACAAAACAAAACCCCCACTGAAACAATGGTGCGTGTGTCGTAGAAGTAGGAGAGTGAGGCAAGAAGGTGGTAGGTTCTGTGGTCACATACCAAGGCTGTCTCAAAAGTGAATTTATTTAAATCTTAAAAGTGAATGCATTCTAAGATGCTGTATAAAGTAGATAGTTTCAGCTAAACTATGTACGATGTCTCTGAATGGCCGAAGTCTGCACACACTGTAACAGTTACACACACTGGAACAATCTACACTCATTGCTATTGTAATGTTTAGTTATTATTGTAAGTTTAAATTAATCTCACTATGTAGTCCTCGCTGGCTTGGAAGTCACCATATAAATCAGCCTGGCCTTGAACTCATAGAAATCCACCTGCTTCTGCCTCCTGATAAAAGATGTGTGCAACCACTCTTGACCAGTATTCCTAGTTATAGATTTGTGTATTTGAGGCTGTGTTGGAGGTTTGAATCCAGGGCCTCCCATATCCAGGGCAACTGCTCTACCAGTGAATTTAATTTCCAGCCTCCAAACATTAACAGACAGTGCTGATGGTGGGGCTAAGGCACTGTGGTGGAGTGCTTCCCTAGTATGGGTGAAACCCTAGATTCAATCCGTAGTACTTCCAAAAAGGGAGAAAATAACCCTAGATGATATTATTGAAATTCCAGGTTATGGGAATGGACAATAGAAAGGGATGAAGGTCCAGGAGAAAAAGGAGGGTGTTTCGGTCTCCTTTCTAATGCTGTGATGAGCACTGTGACCAAAAATAACTTGAGGAAGAAAAGGTTTATTACATCTTACATCCATTATTAAAGGAAACCAGAGCAGGAGCTCAAGGCAGAAGCCTGGAAGTAGGAACTGATGCAGAGACCATGAAGGACCACTGCGCACTGACTTGCTCCATCTGGCTCGCCCAGTTTGCTTTCCTCTACATCTTAGGACCACCTGCTTCTGGTTGCGCCATCATCAGCGCCCTAGTTTGATGTTGTACCGCAGCTTTGTAAAATGTAACTGCTGAGATGAAGCGGGCAAGAGTCCACAGGGCTTCATGCTCTTATTTCTCATTCCTGCCTGTGTTTCTGCGCTACGTCAAACCAGAGTAAGATTAGCTTCCATGGACTCAAAACAGAAAGAAGGGAGCCACTCCACCTGTAAGGGATGTTGTCAAGGATATTCTATGGAGCGAAACTGATCAATATACAGTTTATATGACCCCACTGGAAATAGTATTTTTAACCACGTGTGTCTGAGTGCCGTTGCTGGAAAGTGCTGGAAGAGGGCGCCAGATAACCCGGAGCTGAAGTCGCAGACTGTTGTAAGCCACTTGATGTGGGAACTGGCTACCAAACTCATGTCTTCTGCAAGAGCAATTGGTGCCCTTTAACTGCTGAGCCATTTCTCTGGCCTCGTTTTAATTTGATTATATGTGACGGCATAGAAAAATCCATACCAAACTGTCGAGAGGACTAGAACGGTGGACAGAGACGTGGAAGTGTTAACTCTGTAATTTTTGTAGTTTAAATGACTAACCTGAAAAAAAAAAAATAAAAAAAAAAAAAGATGTCTTAAAGCAGCTTTTAAGAGGCAGGCTGTGGGCATTTTCTACACTGAGCGAAGCTTTAGTTCATCACCCCCTACGTCCCTCTTCAGCGGCTTCAAATCCCTGCTGCCTTGATTTTTGAGCCATGGTGGACTGTACTCTTGAGCTGTGAAACCCTTTCTCTCTTAAGTTGCTTTTGTCGGGGTGTTTTATCATAGCAATAGGAAAAGGAACTAAGACACGGACTGAAAGAGGAGGCACAGATAGGGTGTAGCTCGGGCATATGGCACCTCCTTAGCATGTGTGAGGCCTTGGGGTCCACTCCCAGCTCGGAAGAGGTGAGGATGGGAGGAGAGATGGAGAAGGGAAAGAAAAAATAAGTTTTATCATTGGGGGGTAAGGCGTTGTCAGGAGACAGATTGGAGATTGCTCTCTCTTAGGTCCTGGGGATTGAGCTAGGGTCACCAAGTTGAAGGTCTTTAGTCACTGAGGCATGAGGGAATTGTTAAGACACGGTCTCACCACGTAGCCTAAACTGGCCTTGAACTCTCCATCCTCCTTCTTCAGCCTACTGATGCCTGGCTAGAATTACGGGTGTACATCACCACACAAGCCTGAACTATAACTTATTTGGCCATCCTTTGGGGCAGGTGTTTGGCTCCGAATGTGCATTCATAACCCTGATGGATGCAACAGAGGCCCATGAATTTGAGCAATTGTTTCAAGCGTGAATGACAGTGTCCGTATCTGCACTGTAGGCAAAACAGCATGCGTTCCCCGGGATGACGGTGACGCTCACCGGGCATGGCGCGCATACAGTGTCAGCTGTAAGAGTGGGTGCTCTCCGTTTGAGCTAGCGGGATATTCTTGCCACCGTGTAAATAGATCCGGGGGCGGGGGGTCCTTCTCACCACTCCGGAGTCTCTGATAGGGACGAAGGAAGACTGCAACTCAGAGCATTCCTTTGTATGCTTCCATTCACAGTTCCAGACCAGAGGTTCAGCCGTTTTAATTCCAGGACAGGTGAATGGGATAGAGGTTCATTTCCTCTCATCATCGATAATGTGAAGATGGAAGACTCCCAGTCATACATCTGTGAGGTGGACAACAAGAAGATGGAGGTGGAGCTGCGTGTGTTCAGAGGTGAGTGGGGCAGCCTGGGGTAAGATGCCTTCCACGGTTCCCTTCCACTCCTACCCCCAAGCCAGGACCTGAACTGATGACATTGCCCAGGCCACAGGTGCGTCTCACTGCTCCTCTCAGTTAGTGGGGGATGAACAAAGACTGCGGGGCGGGGAGAAGGGAAAGAACAGAGGAAGGAGACAAGGAGGGAGAGGAAGGAGACTCCTGCCCTGGTCTGGCAATGGACACCCGGGAGTGAGGAGGGAGGCATTGTTGAGGGGACGAGAGAGACGCTCTTGTTCTCCTTCTTCCCTAGTCCTTGGGGATGGTATGTGTGACGCAGGTGATCTGCTTCCTCCACAGTGACCATCAACCCCAGTACCCGCCTGCTGGAGGGGCAGAGCCTGAATGTGATCTTGGAATACAACCATCCGGTTGATAACCCCTCAATACAGTGCAAAGGCCCAAGGGGTGGAAGTGTCAAGAGAGCTACTGCTATTTTCTCCGTGCCCAACCTAAGGACTCAGGACAGTGGCCAGTGGGCCTGCACCGTAACCCTGAACCAAGTGGAACGGACGTTGGCCATAAAAATCTTAGTGCTGGGTAAGGGACTCCTTTCCTGCAGCTTCCTTCCCACTACAGGAATTTCCGGGCCTCACTCTGCTCTTATGTTGATTCCTGGACCTGCTGGACCAGGTGGTGGGGATGAGTCGAGGTCCTTCTCTAGCTGGGGATTGTCCTGGAGCCCTTCCCCCCTTAGAGAGCCCATTACAGCAACCTAGGGAGTGTACAAGAAGGAAGAGTGGGAAGGTAGGAGGGGAGAGGCTCCAGAGTCCACTGTAGGGAGGCAGCAAAGCTACCTATTGGCCTTGCTGACGATTTCCGCTCCTACTAGTGGACAAATCCGTTTACTCGGCAATATTAACACCAGCAAACCAGTCATCCTGAGCTAGGCACCCTGGGACAGCCATGCCACAACCAGGTACCCCATTTCATTATTTTTAATTTTGGGGGGATCCTAACGTAATCACATCATTTCCCTTTCCTCTCCCCAAACCCTCCCAACTCCCTTTTAAATTCATGGCATCTTCTTAATTCGTTTCACACACAGCACACTCACATAGACACACAGTCTGCATAATGTTGTACATTATGTGTGTACATGTATGTACATGTCTTCAGAGCGGATCTTTTGCTGTTGGATAACCAATTGGTGTGCTTTTGTTTTTGTTCTTTTTTTTTTTTTTTTTTTTTTTTTGGTCTAAGGTTGAGGCCTCATGAGTTCTTCCCCTTCCACATTAGCATGTCCTACCCACTGGTGTCATCCATGTTAGTGATGAGATTTTTATGACATTCGTAGAGATACACTCTCAGAGCACACTCTCCTTCCCTCCGGCCCTTCCCACCTGCCGCCTGAAATGATTCCTGAGCCTTGGGCGTGGGAGCTGTGTTGTGGCCGTGCCAGGTGGGAGTGGGCTCCATACCACTGCCCTGAAAGTGTCCGTCAGTTACAAAGAGGAGTTTTCCTGATGGGCAGGGAGGAACTGCACTTCTCTGTGGGTGTGAGGACAAATATTTAGAATGCTGTTGGGGGCTATGATGGTTTAATAAAGTGGTGACTGCGGGTTGTGGTGCTTTGAGGAAAAATGGCCCTCATAGGCTCCTGTATTGAACGTACTCACCAGGGAGTGGCACTGTTTGAGAAGGATTGGAAGGGATGGGAGGTGTGGCCTTTTGAAGTAGGTGTGTCAATGGGAGGGGGCTTTGAGGTTTCAAAGGCCCGTACCAGGCCGAGTCTCTCTGCCTTTCTGCCTTTGGATCAGGGTGTAGCTCTAGGCTATGGCTCCGGCACCTGCCTGCCTGCCCCCATGCTTCCCGCCATGATGATAATGGACTAAACCTCGGAAAGTATAAGCCAGCCCTAATTAAAGGCTTTCCTCTATAAGTGCTGCCTTGGTCATGGTCTCTTCACAGCAATAGAACAGTGACTAAGATACAGGTTCTTCTCCAATATCCATGACTTCACCAGCCCTGGGGAGTTGGTTAGGTTTCCACTGCCAGGAATGATTCCCTTCCCTGTTGAGTGGACAACCATGTATTCTTCTGCACTCATGAAATGGATATGATGCTACCTGTGACAGCACCAACCTTCTAGTACCATAGTGAGAATCATAATGGATGGCATCTAGACCAGTGCCTGGCACACAGCAAAACTCATTTTAGTTTTGGCTCTTATTTTGTGAGGGTTGATAAACAAAAGTCAAATAGCTTCTGGGCTCCAGGGGTTCCAGGAGAGAGAAATGACAATCTTGGTGGGTAGATGGTCCCTGTGCCCCTTTGTCCCTGTGCCCCTGTGCCACATGCTTGCCCCCCATATGCTCCCTCATCTTCCTCTTTCTCCTCACCCAGAGTTATTCCTGCTTCCCTCTCACCACCAGGTTTCAAGAAGGCATCTATCACAGCCTATAAGAGCGAGGGGGAGTCAGCAGAGTTTTCCTTCCCACTCGACATAGAAGAAAATGCCCGGGGAGAGCTGAGGTGGAAGGCAGAGGAGGCCTCTTTCTTCCAGCACTGGGCCACCTTCTCCGTACAGAACAAGGAGGTATCTGTGCAGAAGGCCACTGACGACCTCAAGCTCCATATGGAAAAGACACTCCCAATCAGCCTCAAGATAGCCCAGGTCTCGCTTCAGTGCGCTGGTACTGGCAATCTGACCCTGACTCTGGACCAAGGAACACTGTATCAGGAAGTGAACCTGGTGGTGATGAAAGGTGAGGGGTGGGCTGAGAGAGGGCAAGCTGGGGTGAAAGGTGAAAGGGGTGGTCCAGGGCTCTCCATGGCTGGTCAGGTCCCAAAAGGGAATGCTTTGATGCTCATTGTCTGGCTAAATAACAAAGGACTCTCCAGATTTTGAGCCAGTTTTGCTTTCTGCTCTTGGTTTTGGATGTGTGTGTGTGTGTGTGTGTGTGTGTGTGTGTGTGTGTGCGCGCGCTGGAAACCAGGGCCTCATACATGCTATGTACAAAGTCTATACTGGGCAGTACCCAGTCCACTGAAGCCCACAGGATCCAGCCTTTCCTCTGCCTGACCCCTCTGTGACCCTGACTAAGCCCCTTTGACATCATGGACCTGCTTGCTCATCTATTTTTTTTCTTTTTAAGATTTATCTATTTATTTATTTGTGTGTGTGTGTGTGTGTGTGTGTGAGAGAGAGAGAGAGAGAGAAAAATCCTGGTACTGAAGTTTCAGACAGTTGTATGCTGCCATGAGGGTGCTGGGAATTGAACAAAGATCCTCTGGAAAAACAGCCAGTGCTCTTAATCATTAAGCCATGTCTCCAGCCCATTAATATTTGTACATGAGAGAGAGAGAAGACAGAGAGAGAAAATGTATGCCACATGCGTATGACAAATGAAGCCAAAAGGGCACATCAGATTCCCCTGGGGCTAGAGAGGCGGTGAGCTGCCTTGTGGGTCCTCTGGAAGGCCAGCAAAGGCTCTTAAGCTCTGAGCCCCACTCTCCAGCCCCACCATCTTTTTAATATGGAACAAAGTCTTAGCAGATAGTAGTGGTTGTAGACACCAACCTCAGCACCGAGTTCTCTGTAGCCTCAACTCATCATCACATCAACTCCACAAAGAGCAATGACTAACTAACCCTAATACTTGGGACATGCCAGGCCTCATTCAAACACTTCAGCCAGCCAGCCACTTCATTATTGCCAGTGATGCATGTGGCTAAGCAGTTTGCCCAGGGACACGCTGTGGGTGTCTCTGCGATCACCATAGCTGGCAAAGTAAGGATTGGGTTAGGCCAGAAGGAAATCCGGCTCAACACGACTTAGGATTCAAAGTCAAGGCTAGCTCCCTCCCTCCCAGGCGCCTTCTCCCTGACAACTACAGAAAAAACACGATCTAAGAAGCTAAAAGATCACTCACATAAAGGATCATTTCCCCCTATTCCACGGAGTCGCCTTCCTGATAGCTGAGAAGCCAGAGCAACAGGCCCCAGGTCTCTGCCTCTCCTTCCTCTGCAGTGGCTCAGGACGATGATTCTTTGACCTGTGAGGTCAGGGGACCCGTTTCCTCCAATATGAGACTCACTCTGAAGCGGGAGGATCAGGAGCCCAGGGTCTCCAAGGAGCAGAAGGTGGTCCAAGTGCCGGCCCCGGAGGCCGGGGTGTGGCATTGTCTACTGAGTGATGGAGAAGAGATCAAGATAGACTCCAAGATCCAGGGTAAGGATCCAGTTTTCCAAGGCCTTGGCGACTGTGAAAACTTCCCAAGGGATTAGCTAAGATGACCCAGCCTCCTAGCTCATCTGACAAAGGAGGCAGTTTGTACAGTGGTCTGAAGATTGAAGTGATGAGGGAGGGAGGTCCTTGCTCTTAGGTTCCCACTCGAATCCTCCAGACTCCCACTTCCATACAGCCTAGGCATAAGGCCTTCGTGGCTAAGAGCTACCTTCCTCCTTGGCTTCCTCTAAACTTAAACAAGCACATAGGCCCTGGCGTGAGGCCCCTGCTTCTAGCTCCCTAGAGAATTCTAGAAGAAAAGAACAAACCCTTCCCTGTTCTGTAACCCCAAGGCCTAGTGGCCTTTGAGAACCCTGTGGACTCAGCTCTTCTCTCTGACCTGGGACCACAGGTAAGGCTGTCCCTACATGAAATCTCTTTCTTGGAAGTTCTTGGGGTGGAACCCAGGGGCCCCCTCCACCAGACCCATATCCACAACCAAATTCCTCCCCCTGCTCCTCAGTTTCACCCAGAGGGTGGAACCATGACCATCCAAAGTTCCTGGCTGTCGTGTCGGGGGGCATCTGCGGCTTCCTGGCTTTCATCGGGCTCATCATCTGGTGTGTCAGGTGCAGACGACAACAGGTGAGTGAGCCTCCATCACCCCCCCCCCCCGGACCCTCAAGCGCAGTACCTTGAACATGAGGCTGAGCACCCTGCGACTGGCCTCTGGTTTAGCTTTCTCTGCCCACCCCCTGAAGTTCTTCACTGCAGACCAGACCCTGCCTAGCATGCCACCTGAAGAGATGGGATTGCTCCTTCGAGAGCAGAGTCAGTGACAGGACAAGTGGCTTAAGCCACAGAAAATGCTTCCTCTCTGCCTGCTCCCTCCCCTCCCCCCTCCAGGGGGCACCTCCCTCCTGGAGGGCCGGGGACCCTCACAACTCCTCTCCTTGTCCCTGGGCAGCGCCAGGCAGCACGGATGTCTCAGATCAAGCGGCTCCTCAGTGAGAAGAAGACCTGCCGGTGCCCCCAGTAAGGATCTGGGCTGAGAGGTGGGAGGGAGGGAGAGAGGAGGGAGAGGAGGGAAAGGGGTGAGGAAGACAAGAAAAAGGCTTTGAGAAGGACCCGAGGTGCAAGGAGGAGTGGAGCAAGGAGATGAGGTAGAGAGGAGGTGATGGAGAGTGAAAAACTGGAACTGGAGAAAGGATGGGCAGAGCTGGAGGGGCAGTGGGCCTGTGGGATGTCTGCGCAGACCCCGCAGAAGACGGCTCACTGTGCTGCAAGGGAAAAGCGGGGTCTGGAACCATGGGCGCCTGACTCACTGAGGGATCGCGAGGATGGAATTGCTTCCTTTGTCCTCCTTTCTTCTAGCCGGATGCAGAAGACTCAGCATCTCATCTGAGGCCTAGACCCCACCTGCAGCCTACCAACTGTGTCCTGTCTCCTCAGAGGCTGAGACCCGAGGACCAGATGAATGTAGCTGATCCTGTGCCTCTGGCCTCCTCCTGCTCTCCTCTTCCACAACTGGCCAGTGTTTCTCTCACTCTGTCCCCAAGCCCATCAGCAGAGCTTGCTTCCACTTTTCAGACACTTAAACACGCCAGTTGTTCTTCCCAGCTTCCTTTTCACCAGAACCTCGGCTCTTCTCTGACTGCCGTTCTGAAACCTCTCTTCAGCTGTTTGCTTGGATCTAAGGGCCATGCACAGAACCATCCCTACCTGGCATGGGCGGTGGGAGTGGCACCTGGAAATACACACTTTAGAAGAGTGGGCTCTGTGACCAAGCTGAGTGAGGGCCTTGTACACAGATCACACAACCTTTCAGGGACAGATGCAGACCCAAAGGCTGCTGAAGTCAGCCTCAGTTTCCACACTACCTGCTTCTCACTTCTGGCCAGTGCACCAACACACACCCAGGCCACACACCCATACACACAGCCACGCACTGGTCCATAGAGCCAAATAGCTTATCTTAATTTATAAGCCGGTTCAATGTCCTGGGTGTTCAAGCCTAACAAAAACCTTACATGTGGGCAAGATGGCTCAGCGGTAAAAGCTCTTGCTGCCAAGCCTAATGACCCAAGTTCAGATCCTGAGGAAGGATAGAGCTGACTCTTGAAAGTTGTCCTCCACTCAAGCACAGTGGCCCCCGTATACGGACAACACACACACACACACACACACACACACACACACACACACACACACACGGAGAAATCCTACAAGCTGGTAGCCATGACCAAGAGGACAGAGATGAACAATCATCCCCAGTAAAATGGAATTTAGGTTGACAGACTACCCAAGGTTGCTGATGTCAGGACCAGCCCAGGGCCCCTGATGCCTAGAGCCAGTATGTGAAACACAGGGATGAATGCCACACAGATCTTTGGAGCTAGTCACGGGCACTCAGTGTGCACCAGGGGCGGCACAGGGGCACAGCAGAGACCGCCTCTCTCACACTCCTTGATTCACATCCCTTCCTTACCACTGCTGTTTGGGGGAGTCCGAGAAGCAGGAGGCACAAACCCCGGCTCTCTTAAGAGCAAGGCTGGGAGCATGCAGAGACCTGCCGCTCCCTGTGTGCAGAGCCTTGAGAGTGAGCTGTGCTGGGGGTCCTTTAGGGAGACCCTTGTGGAAGGTGACTGTGCCATCCACCTTTCCCACACATGCAGGGAGACGGGGCTCTAAATTCTCCCTGCCAGCCTTGATCTGTTCCTCTCTGATTCTCCGCCTCCTTGGCCTCTTTCACTTCCCTGCTCTAGCACCTCTTTTTTCCCTCACAACCCCTTTCCCTTTTTTTTCCTCCTTTTTTCCCCCAGCGGCCTCTTCCAGAAAGAGGACCTCCCCCACCCCAGTTGCTGCCAGATCCCTCATTGCTTCCTTTTTATTGGTGCCTATCCTCACTTCGGCCTCCTGGGCTGTCAGAAAAATAAAGACTATAAATAAAATGCGCTTTGTGTGTGTGTGTGTGTGTGTGAGAGAGAGAGAAAGAGAGAGAGAGAGAGGGAGGAGGAAGGAGAAGGGGAGAGAGAGAGATCGCACTTGTCTGGGGACCCGGGAATCTCTGGGGCTTTAAGTTGCCAGGCCTGACTCAGAAAGAAGATGAAGTTGCCCAGAGATGGGGGAATTCTCTGGAGGCCGATTGCCCACCTCCACATCCCAAAACCACAGTGTGTTTCTCTGTGATCAACGGAAAGACTACCCGGCCGATGCCCGCTTTCCTGCCGTCTGTGTCGGGGAGAGAACGGGGACTGTGAGAAACCGTAATGCGTGGGGCAGTTGTGTCCCCATCATAACTGTGTGCTCGTGTTCCAGGAGGAGAAAGACGTATGCAGGCCCGCTAAGAGCCTGCTTCCTTTTTGATCCCTGCAACCACTTCCAACTTGACAAGCGGCCTCAGCTTGCATCATAAGCCCCCTCAGCTCCCAGCAGGCCTCCAGGAGGTGCCCGCCTGAGCTCTACCCAAGATCAGCCCTCACAAGGCTGCACACAGTGACACACGGTCACACACTCTTCCTCCCTCCTGAACAGCTCCTCAGTCCCGAACACCACCAGCTGCCTCTTCGGGGCTCATTCGTGTTGAAAAACAAAACAAAAAAACCCAAAAACAAAAAACGGGGATAGGGTGGGGGTAGGACACCAACCGCCTCACCAATGAAGCCCGCTCCCCGCCGTCCTCCTCGCCCCCTCCCTCCCCGCGCCTTCCTTGCCCCTCCTCCTCTAAGTCACCGCCGTCCAGTTTCCCCGCCCCACCCTCGCCATCACCCCCCCCCCGACCCCGAGGCTGGCCAGAGGCTCCCTAACCCCGGGATCGCAGGCCGATGACCCCGAGAGACAGGGGCCTCGAGGGGCCGCAAGCCAGCGCGCCGCGGGCTGAGCCCGAGAGGCCGGGCTGGGGGGAGGGAGGCCCGGAGGGAGGGAGCGAAGGAAGGAGGAGGGCTGGCGAGCCGGAGCCGGCAAGCGGCGGGAGCCCGGGCGAGCCTCGTCGGGAGTGCATCTCCCCAGCAGAGCTGGACGCAGCCTGAGGTAGGAGGACCCCTGCCCGGTCCCTCTCCTGTCTCCGCTCCCCACACCCCATCGCCCCGCTAGAAGCCTCCGCGCCCCTCCTCCCCAGCCACCTGCTGTTTCTGCCCTGAAGAAACCCTAGGTGACGGGAGGGAGGAGCCGCCTGACCTTATCCCCATCAAGGCGAAGGGCGAGGGACCCCTGTCGGCCAGGAAGCCCCCAATCCTCCTCCCCTTCCCTTTTCGGTCTGTCCTTCACCTCCTCTCTCTGTCCTTCACGTCTTTCTTCTTCCCTCCCTTTCTGACTCTCCCACTCCTTCTTTCGGAGCCACCAACTGGGTCTGGGGGTGGGATGAGAGTGGGTGGGAAGGGGTCCAGAGGCTGTCGGAGAGGGCAGTGGGGGGCATCCGGACCAATCCCCTACACCTCCCCCTGGCTGTCCATTGCCATGGCAACTAGGATGTACTGGGCTGGCGGGGGGGGGGGGCAAAGGTGGGGGTGGACTGCGACCTCCTGGGGAGAGCCGGGATCTAAGGTTCTTCGCGGAAATAGACCGTGGCACGGCTGTGCCCCCTCCCCCACCCCTTTGCCTCGAAGCCACTCTGCCGGTCCTTACAGCTCCTACTCTGTCCAGTGACCTGTTCCTTAGGTCTCGCTGAACTGTGTCACGAAGATCATTGCCCTCCTCTTCCCTCCCGTCAGAGAGAAACTGAGGCTCTGGGGGGTGAGGCGGGGGAAAGAGACCCAAGGTCTCCTAGTGAGGACAGCTAGCCTAATGAAGGTCGGTTTTTTTTTTTCCTCAGGCTCTCTGTCCCCCTGCTCCCTACTTCCACCATCCTCCTTCCCACTCCCCTCCCTCCAATATCTCCTCCCCAGGGGTTTCTGAACTGTTCCTTCTATTTTCAGATACTGGCACTTTCCCCCCTCTCTCCTCTGCTCAAACTCCCCTCCTTCTGCATGGTGGTGCCCCCTCTTTCCATTTCTGGATGCTTCTGATGTCAGCGGCTCCCCCGCCTTCAGGTTCCCTAGCTACCCACCGCTATGGTCCTAGCCTCCTTTCTCCCATTTTCCCTGGGTAGCTGAAGGGGTGAAAATTCAGGCTGGGCGCAAAGACTACGGCGTCTGGGAGAATGGCACATGGGAGAAGGGTTCCTGCTTTAACGTGAGCCCCGAATGAAAGAACACATCACCACGGTGTCTCCCGTTGGCGACATGAAGAAAGATCTGGGGACATGGAGACAGGGTTTGGTCGTTCTGGGCGCAGGCTATTATAAGAAGGAAACTTGGAATTCCAAAGCAGGGAGAAAGAGCTAAAAAAGAATGGAGACGAGGAGCCTGTCCCATGTAGTCTGGAAATATAGGAGGGCTTATCCGTGTGGGTAAGTGGGCATCTATCTGATTTAAGGCAGGAGGATGCTCTGAATGACCCCAGTGACCCTCAGCAAGCAATCATTTCTATAGTTTCAAAAGAAAGGGGCTACCAGTGAGCTAGAGGGCAGCACAGGCCTAATTTTTGCCCCTTCCATCTCATCCTCCCTCACAGCTGGTCCAGGTGACTGAGCTCCACCCTTGCGCACCAAGACGCCCCCCAACGGTCAAGACTCACAGGAGAGAGAGACCTGGAAATCCCAGCATGAGAATCAGAGTTCCCCGGCCAGCCTCATAGATGGGAAAGCAGCCAGCTCGCCTCCCCCTTCAATTACGGGGATAATTAAGAAAAGAAGCCCCACCCAACATGGAGGCGGAGGACTGCCACCTGCTTTGAGTCTCTTGCCTTCTCCCCTGCCCTGCCCACCCGGCCTTGGCTGGGTCGGTCATGCAATGCTGAGCAGTGAGGAAGACCCGGGGTCCGCCTGCCTGGCTCCCGGGCAAGGACTGTGGGCATCATGGGGGCTTGTGTGAGCGGGGCTCCAGGGTGAGACCTAGCCCCCGCCCCCAGAAATTCCAGGGGGTGGGGGTGGGGCCAGGGATAGAATGGCTCGGGCTGGGTTGGGGGCAGAAGAGGCCTCCCTACGCTCAAACGCATTGTCCTGGCTGGCCTGTGGGCTCCTGGCCCTGCTGGCCAATGCCTGGATCATCCTTAGCATCTCAGCCAAACAGCAGAAGCACAAGCCGCTGGAGTTACTGCTCTGCTTCCTGGCCGGCACACACATCCTCATGGCGGCCGTGCCCCTCACCACCTTTGCCGTGGTGCAGCTCCGGCGCCAGGCTTCGTCTGACTATGACTGGAACGAGAGCATCTGCAAGGTCTTTGTCTCCACCTACTACACGCTGGCCCTGGCCACCTGCTTCACCGTCGCCTCGCTCTCCTACCATCGCATGTGGATGGTGCGCTGGCCTGTGAACTACCGCCTCAGCAACGCCAAGAAGCAGGCGCTTCATGCCGTCATGGGCATCTGGATGGTCAGCTTCATCCTCTCCACGCTGCCCTCCATCGGCTGGCACAACAACGGAGAACGCTACTACGCCCGAGGCTGCCAGTTCATAGTCTCCAAGATCGGCCTCGGTTTCGGCGTTTGCTTCAGCCTCTTGCTTCTCGGGGGCATTGTCATGGGATTGGTCTGCGTGGCTATCACGTTCTATCAGACGCTGTGGGCCCGACCCCGGAGGGCTCGGCAGGCCCGGAGAGCGGGGGGCGGTGTGGGAGCCAAAGCGGGTGGGCTGGGGGGCTTGGGTACCCGGCCAGCTTTTGAGGTGCCAGCCATTGTGGTGGAGGACACTCGAGGGAAGAGGAGGTCCTCCCTGGACGGCTCTGAATCTGCCAAGACATCCTTGCAGGTCACCAACTTGGTCAGCGCCATCGTCTTTCTCTACGACTCCCTCACGGGGGTGCCCATCTTGGTGAGACTGGGGTTGCTTAACCTGTCCTTAACTCCAGGCCCCTCTGACTCCATCAGCCGCACAGAAGCTCCGTCACGTTTCCTCCAGTTCCATCACCCACCATCCTCCCCTCTCCCCGTCCCCTGACACTTTGGTTCCCTGTCTCTACCGTCCACCCTCACCTCCCACTACTGAATCTCCCAGCTCCAGCAGCCGTCCTTCCCTTCCACTTCTATCCTCCAGCCCGCCACCCATCCTGCCTCTCCTGTCACCCGGCTGCCCTCAGCCGTTCCCTATTCCCTAATTCTCTGAGTGGAAACCCCGGGCTCACCCCCACCACCCTCTCCAGCCCCTTTCCTGGCTTTCTCTCAGTCTTTTGAGTTTCTTGCAGTCTTCCCCTCCCCCTCTTTCTCTCTCTGCCTCTCTGGATGCCTGTCTTGATCTGTCTATCCCTCCCCTGCTCCCCCCCACCCCATGCCAGCATTTTGTCTACAACAAAACTTCTTGACTTTCCTCATTCGGTCCCTTGCCGATGCTCACCCCACCTCCCTTCCTAGCCTCCTGTATTAGGGTGGTTGTCAGGAGTAGGCAGGGCCCGGGCTCTCCGGCCTGACCAGTCACTCCCTCTTCCCTGCCAGGTCGTGAGCTTCTTCTCCTTGAAGTCAGATTCAGCCCCGCCCTGGATGGTGCTGGCTGTGCTGTGGTGCTCCATGGCACAGACTCTGCTCCTGCCCTCCTTCATCTGGTCCTGTGAGCGCTACCGTGCGGACGTGCGCACAGTGTGGGAGCAGTGTGTGGCTATCATGTCTGAGGACGATGGCGATGACGGTCAGAGCTGGGGACGGGCCCTTTTCTTTCCTGGACAGCTACCTCCGATTTTCTGTCCTTTCCACTGCCGGTCTCCTTGAGGAGATGTGCTGCCCTGGGGCGCCCCCTGCTGGCCGAAGCTGGAGCCAACTCCAGGCTCCCCATAGCCTGGTCAGGCGCTCCGCCTTGCTACCTTCTGCGCTGAGGAGCCTTTCACTAGGCCTCTGCTCCAATCTAGGAGCCTACACTGCCCAGCTGGGTCCGTGCCAAGCACAGCTCCAGAGAAAGGGTCTTCAGTCCTAAAGCAAGGAAGGCGTGGCATTACAGGGAAGCTAAGCTTCCTGAAAGAGATCCCCTGCCCTTGGGACAATTCTTGGAGAAGAACGAGCAAAAATGTCTCTATAAAGGCCCAGGGAGTCAGTGAATGTAGCAAAGCTGGCCTTTTCCTTGATCCTCCTGGTGCTTACAGACTAACGGGAACCAAAGGGTCCTCCAGGACTTCATGATGGGGATGGCGAGAGGTTGGGGGTTCCTGGCCTCTAACCGATCTGCTCTTTCTCTCTCCTAGATGGGGCCTGTGAGGACTACACAGACGGCCGAGTGTGCAAAATTCGTTTTGATGCTAACGGGGCCACAGGCTCAGGGAGCCGGGACCCCACCCAGGTGAAGCTGCTGCCTGGACGGCACATGCTTTTTCCACCTCTTGAGAGAGTACACTATTTACAGGTATGGCGCAGGATTCCCTCCACTCTAGTCCCCTGCACCGCTTCTCCATGGCTTTGGACTGCAGGCTTGGGGGGGGGGGGGCAGATGAAGGAAAGACAAGGGGAAGAAAGGTTCCCTCTGACCTTTCGGAACCAGGTTTGCCCACTGGAGTAAACGCTTCGGAGAAACGGGAGAGCGTGAAGCCATCTTGCAGGGTTTGGTTTCTGCCACCTCTACCTTTGTCTCTGCAGCACCTCCAGGTCTCACCTGCTCCTCTTCCCAGGTCCCCTTGTCCCGCCGACTGTCCCATGATGAGACCAACATCTTTTCTACTCCTCGGGTACCAGGCTCCTTCCTGCACAAATGGTCATCGTCTGACGATATCCGGGTCCTCCCAGCCCACAGCCGAGCCCTTGGGGGGCCTCCTGAATACCTGGGACAGAGACACAGGCTGGAGGATGAGGATGATGAGGAAGAAGCTGAAGGTGGGGGCTTAGCCAGCCTTCGCCAGTTCCTAGAAAGCGGGGTTCTGGGGTCAGGTGGGGGACCCCCACGAGGTCCTGGCTTCTTCCGGGAGGAGATCACCACCTTCATCGATGAGACACCTCTGCCTTCTCCAACTGCCTCACCAGGACCATCTCCCCGTAGGCCTAGGCCACTGGGCTTTTCACCTCGACGACTCTCCCTTGGGTCTCCTGATAGCCGAGCGGTCGGACTTCCTTTGGGGCTAAGTGCAGGAAGACGCTGTTCCCTGACAGGGAGTGAGGGGAGTTCAAGGGCTTGGGGACGACCCTGGGGCCCAGGCAACCCCATCTTCCCCCAGCTGACCCTGTGAGGCCACCTGGGCCTGCTTAACTCAGAGGAGAGAACGAGGGCGAGTGAGTCCTCCTCATTCTGGCCCTGAGCCTACGGCAGCTGCCTCCAGGGAGACAGGGCGCTAGATCTGGGCTCTAGAGGCCCAGCTCTGTCCCATCCAAGTGACCAGATATCCTACTCACCCGTCTTCACCCCTAGCAAAATGTATTAAAAGGATGAAGTGTTGCCATGGAGACCTTGGTGTTCAGCGTCTGCGGTGGCAAATGGTCAGTGGCTTGGGATTGAGGACAAAATGGAGAAGGGGCAGGGGAAAGAGGTTCAGAAACAGACGGCCCAACGTGCAGACAGACACAGGAGAAACCGGCTCAGGAGCATAGGGTCCTGAGGTGGGGCACGCGACACGTGCGTGTGTTCGTCTGAAACGGGAAGGATCTCTGTTTAAGTTAGTAAAAGTGCTCGATCCTCAATCTCCCCTAAATGCGTCCGGGTCCTCATTTTCTGGGGCAGAAAAGTTTTGGTGCCAGGATTGGGGTGTCCCGAGCCCGGAGTCACCCTCTTCCATGCTGCCATTCCAAAGGTCCTTCTCCCAAAGGTGGGCTGGCAGCGGCATGTGGCAGATGAACTTGTGAGGCTCGTCCGCGGTCCTTTTCCAGGACCCTGGGATGGACGGGCGGACACGAGGTTACCCCCACGCCACAGGCGTCCGGAACCCCCATTTCACCCTTCTTCCTCCGCTTCCCTTTCTTCCCCACCCGTCGAGACCCACGCGTCCCGCGGAATCCTCCCTCGGTCTCGCTTCGCTCGCTCTCCCCTGCGGCTGGGCCTAAACCCAGCAACTTTCCTTGGCTCCACTCATCCCTTCTCTCTTCCTCTCCCTCCTCCTCTCCATCTCGCCTTCCTTCTCCTCCCCCTGGCCTCCCCCCCCTTTCCTCTCCCTCCCTCCCTCCCGGCTCCGCATTTCCCTCCGGCAGCGGGGCCCGCGCCTCTGGGCACCATGCTCTGGCTCCTGCGGCTGCTGCTCTGGCTGCTGCTGCCTCCCCCCGGCTCCCCCGAGCCTCCCGAGCCCCCGGGCCTGGCCCAGCTGTCTCCGGGGGCGCCTCCCCAGGCCCCGGACTTGCTCTACGCCGACGGGCTGCGAGCCTACTCGGCCGGGGCTTGGGGACCCGCCGTGGCGCTGCTCAGAGAGGCGCTGCGGAGCCGGGCAGCGCTGGGCCTCGCCCGGCGGGACTGCGGGGCGAGCTGTGCCACCGAGCCCGGCGCCGCGCTCCCCGCCCAGCCCCTCGGCGCCCCGCAGCCCGTGTCGGGCTCCGGGACCTGGGAACCGCTGCTCCTGCGCGCCACGCTCCGGCGCGCCGAGTGCCTGACCCAGTGCGCGGCGCGGAGGCTGGGCCCGGGGGGCGCGGCGCGGCTCCGCGTGGGGGGCGCGCTGCGGGACGCCTTCCGCCGACGGGAGCCTTACAACTACCTGCAGAGGGCCTACTACCAGGTGCGGGAGCCAGGCAGGGCGCCACCCAGAGCCCGGTGGCTTGTCTTACTTGCTGCCGACCAGGAGAGGGCGAGATGCTCGCCGCCCAGACTCTTAGGGTGGAGTCGCAGGGGTGGGGGACTCAGGGTACCAGTCAAAACGCTGGCCGGTTCTGTGGCGGCCGCAGAGCGGGGGTCAAGTTGGAATGGGAGCCAAGTGGGGGCCAAGTTGGAACGAAGAGGAGTGAGAGTCCAGCGAGTGTGGAGGGGGAGGGCCCCGCAGTTTTATTTTAGCCGGTCTCAGGGAGTGAATGCAACCGCTTCCTAGGTGTGCAAAGCAGATGGTGAGGGGCTCAAACCAGCCATGGGACAGGAAGTGTGTGTGTGTGTGTGTGTGTGTGTGTGTGTTCAAGGCTGTGTGTGAGCCTTCTCAGGGGCAGGATGGAGCTTCGGAAGGGCTGATGGAGGGAGGCGAGGTTTGGAGGAGGTAGCCCAGACAAGGCTGGAATCTGGGTCTGTATGTAGCTGGTAGACAGCTGTTCGGCTTCCAGGCTGGTAGCCGAGGCCTACGTGGCTGGAGGAGGGAGGGCCCAAGTCGCACACACCTCAGCTCAGGGTCCTAGAGGCCTGCAGGTTCTAGTCATTCAATGGCTCCCCCACGGCCCCATCTGCTTTAGCCACTCGTTGTCCCCCAAACTGAGACCCTGAGGTGCTCAGCCCACGGACCCCCCAACTCCAAAGCTTCCAGACTTCCTTTCCTTCTGTGCCAAACTCCACGTTCTGGCTTCCAAGGGATTTGGTGGTTTCCAGGTGGGGCAGTCCTGACTGGCTAGGGGAGGCTAGTGAAGGGACAGAGGGCTGACCGCTGCCGCCCCCCCCCCCCACCTCTGGGCTCTGAGACCTCATCCCTTCGGCTCTGCAGCTGAAGAAGCTGGACCTGGCAGCCTCGGCAGCTCACACCTACTTCGTGGCGAACCCAACACACTTGCAGATGCGGGAAGACATGGCCAAGTACAGGAGGATGTCTGGGGTTCGACCCCAGAGCTTCCAGGACCTGGTGACGCCCCGATACTGGGTGAGACCCTCAGGGCTGCTGGGGTGCTACCAAGCCTGGCCTTATGCAGTCTGAGCATCAGGAGAGAGACTGGGTGCTCTTCCTCAGTGGCCGTGGGTAAAGAGCCTCTCCCTAGTAGCAGGCTTCCTCTGCGGCCACTAACGCTTCGGCTGTTCTAACCTTCTGATTCTGAGGCCACACCTGCCCCTCCTTCTCCGGGTGCGTGAAGCAGGATATGGATTTCATGCTCCAAATAAGGCTGCCGCATCTTTCTATTTCAAACAGTCTCACAGAGTGCAGCCCTGGCTGGCCTCAAAGTCAGTGAGACCCGGTTGTCTCTGCCTCCCCTGTGCCAGGTTGAAATCGTATGCCGTCGTGCCCTTTGACCTCCCCATCTTGTTCGAATACCCTCCCACCACCACCAATCCCGGGTGACTAAATGCTCCCATTGCCCGCAGGCAGCCTATGACACTGGCCTGGAGCTTCTGGGGCAGCAGGAGGCAGCACCGGCACTGCCCAAGCTGGAGGAGGCCCTCCAGGGCAGCCTGGCCCATGTGGAGAGCTGTCGTGCTAGCTGTGAGGGGCCTGAGGAGCAGCAAGGAGCTGAAGAGGATGAGGAGGAAGGGAGCCAAGGGGGCCTGTATGAAGCCATTGCAGGTGAGGGGCTGGACTGTGTGCTCTGGGAGGGCTGTGAGGCCCGGGTTGGAGCACACACCCCCTATGGCTTGTTTGTACTCTCTGCAGGGCACTGGATACGGGTCCTGCGGTGCCGGCAGCACTGTGTGGCGGACACGGCCACCCGTCCTGGTCGCAGCTTCCCTGTCCCCGACTTCCTCCCCAGCCAGCTGAGACGGCTACATGAGGCCTATGCTCAGGGTCAGCTTGGGAAGGATGGACCCTGGGAGGAGTGAAGATTTGTCTCTGATGCCATTCTGTGCCCAGTCTTCTCTCTCCTTTTCACCTGACTCTGCATTGATGGTTTCACTGCCAGGGCCTGTGGGGACCCATTGTTTCAGAATGGTGTCCTTTGGCACCGTTGTGCAAAGCTCGGGAGATGGCTTGCTTCAGCCCTTGTTGCTTCTCGCCTTCCTTTGTTTCCTCCCCTCTTCCTCTTCCTTGAGCCCTGCCACTGAAGGTATGTTTGAGGATGCTTCTGAGAGAAGTGCTGGGTGGGCGCGTCTTGCAGCCAGGCTGGGGCTCCTTGCAGTCGGCAGTCTTCCGGGTGACCTTCAGCTTTCTTCACGCTGACTTCTTTGTTCTTGCCCCCTTCCTACCTTTCCTCCGTCTCCAGTGGGGAATGTGTCTCAGGCGATGGAAAATGTCCTCAGTGTCCTACTCTTCTACCCTGAGGATGAGGCTGCCAAAAAGGCTCTGAACCAGTACCAGACTCGGCTGGGAGAGCCGAGACCCAGCCTGGGACCACGAGAGGTACTCCCTCCCCTCACACTCACGGATAGGTAGGAGCAAGGGAAATATCCTATCCGAGAGTGGCCCAGATTCTATACTTCATCCTAGCTTCTTTGTTCATTTTACTTATTTTCTTTTTTCGTTATTTTTTTTATTTGCTTGCACGTATGTGCTCCACATATGTGTGCCCTCAAAGGTCAGAAAGAGGGCATGTGGAGCTGGGATGGCGGTGCTCTCCTTCAGTCCCAGCAATTTAGGAGGCAGAGGCAGGCAGATCTCTGTGAGTTCAAGGCCAGCCTGAGTGAGTTCTAGAAGAGCCAGAGCAACATAGTGAGGCCTTGTCTCAAAACAAATGAACACGCAAAAGAGGGCACGGGGTGGAATGGAGTGGACATTCCTGAAATGGAGTTTTAGCATGGTTGTGAAGCACCATGTGGGTGCTGAGACCTGAACCTGGGTTCTCTGCAAAATCAGCAATTGCTCTTCACACACACACACACAGTCTCTTAGTTCCTGTCTTACTTTGAGCCCAGACACCGAAAGTTGAATGATTGCAGCATCAGATTTGGTGACAGAACTCAGGAGTGTGCAAACGTCCAGCTCTCCCTTCCTTTCTCCTTCCTATCTCCATTCTCCTCTGTCTCTGCCCCCGCTCAGGACATCCGGCGCTTCATCCTTCGTTCTCTTGGGGAGAAGAGACAGCTCTATTACGCCATGGAGCACCTGGGCGCCAGCTTCAAGGACCCGGTAAGCGGCTGTGTTCTTCTCCCCGGAGAGAGGCACAGCGATGCTGGATGGCCATAGGCCGCTGAGGTCTGTGTGTGTCCTGCTCGCTGCCCACAGCCCCGCAGACTTAACAGAACTCCGACATCCCAGGTTTCCAGGGACCGGCACAGTGTGCCCACGGTTAAAATGGCCTCGGGATCATGCCTGGCTAAGAACCAGTCTTTCTGCCACAGACATTTCCCGGTTAACGGTTTGCCCCTCTCCCAGTTTCTTTACCTGTGAAGCCCGCACTTGCTGCACAGGCCTGTCATTGAAGCTGCGCCATCTGATAAAAAAAAAAAAAGTACATACAGAAAGTGTCGTTGCTGCCGAATCCATTACCCTCCTTTAGTTATGAGGACCGAGCGCAGCGCCGTCGTGACAAAGCTAGGACTTAACCCAGTAGTGACTTGATTGACTTTTTTTTTTTTTTTTTTGAGGGTTTGGATGGCTTAAGTAATCAGTATTTGCCTCGTACGCATACATTCCCAGGGTCCAATCTCCAGCCCTGCAACAAGAAAAAGGAAGGAAAGGAGGGAGAGAGGGAGGAAAGAAGGGAAAACTATTTTGGACCCGCTAGTTCTTGGCTGGAGACCGTCCTGCATCCATGGGTAGCTGTTCAGCTGCCGTCCTGACATCTTCCCAGTAGATGTCGATAGCACATGGATAGCCCTTAAATCATGAAATCAATAGTTCCTAGATGTTGTCTAATGTCCCCTGGGGTGCGGGGGCGGTCAAATCAAATCACTCTCACTGAGAACTGCTGGAGAAAAGCGAGGGCTGTAAAGCTGGTTTAAATCCTACTCTGCCACTTACACGCTGTGTGAAGTTGACCCTGTTATTTGACCTTTGTGTGTCTCAGAACCCTCCACTGAAAAGGGAGCTCATCGGAACTACCTGTTTCCTTAGACTATTACAAACTTTAAGCTGCAAAAAAAATCAGCCGGGCCGTGGTGTGGCCTGCGCCTGTAATCCCAGCACTCAGGGAGGCAGAGGCAGGTAGGTTGCTGTCAGTTCGAGACCAGCCTGGTCTACAGAGCAAGTCCAGGACAGCCAAGACTACACAGAGAAACCCTGTCTCAAAAAAATAAATAAATAAATAAATTAAACCACAAATCTCACTGCATATATAAAGGCTTTAGCACCTGGCAGACAGTACATGCAATGGAAGTCATTGCTCATTACAGTATGGTCTAAAACCTGAGGCCCTACATTCTGTTGTAGCCTTGGCTGTCCTGGACTCCCTTCATAAACCAGGCTGGCCTCGAACTCACAGAGATCCGACTGCCTCTGCCTCCCGAGTGCTGGGATTACAGGCGTATACCATCGCAACAGGCTAGGACCTTCAGATTCTAATGTCAGGAATGTCAGGAGCTAGACATGGAGGGTGATGCTGCCGTTCTTGACTTATCACAGGATTCTTGGACCCCAGAATCTTTCATCCCTAAGGCACTGAGAGAGAAGCTCAGGTAGGGCATGCCCTGTGGTGGGGTTCAAGTGGCCCAGGCTGGGAGGTGAGGGTCTACGCTGTCTACTGAGTACATCTCTCACCCCTGAGAGAGGATCAAGAGAAGAGGCCGTGGGACCAGGAGCCCCCACAGACAAAGCCCTTGACCTACTGGAAGGGTGAGTTCCTTGTATGTATAAAATGGGGGAGGGGGGAGGAGGGGACAGGAGGCGAGGAGGGCGGACAGGAGGTTAGGGGGGTGGGCAGGAAGGTAGAAAGGCAAGGTGGGGGAAGATGAGGAGACAGAAGCCCGAGGGCCTGAAATCTACCAGCTACTGCCCTTCAGGTGGGCCCCAGTGACCTCTGCCCCTGTCCCTCCCCTTGTAGATGTCCTTCTCCTGGAAGGTGTGACCCTCACCCAGGATGCCCAGCAGCTGAATGGGTCCGAGCGAGCCGTGTTGGATGGGCTGCTAACTCCAGCCGAGTGTGGGGCTCTACTGCAGCTGGCCAAGGTATGAGAGTGTGGGGCGTGGGGTTCAGATGCCTGCTCCTTGCTCCTGGCCCATGTCCGCCCAGTGTTCTGTCTGCTTCAAGTGTCTCCTGAAGTCTACATTTTATCTCAGGGTGAACAAGCTCTTTTCCCTCTTTTTATTTACGTACTTATTTTTACATAAACATGGTGAGGTTTTTTTTTTCTTGTGACTTACTCGTATTACTTCATTTAAAGTTATTAGCTATTTATAAAATCTGTTTAAAACTATACTGATGATGTGAGAACAGGTACAGCATGAAAACATCCTGATTTTAGAGGACTGTCTTACCATGACACTGTCCTTTCAACATTTTTAGTGTCAGTTCTGGGTGAACCAGGATGGCCTCTGCCTGTGTCATTCAGCCCTCCTGCCCTGATTCTGTTCTGATGGTGTCTCTCATGTGTACTGTGTGGCTCCCTTCTTTCTTTCTTTCTTTCTTTCTTTCTTTCTTTCTTTCTTTCTTTCTTTCTTTCTTTCTTATTATTATTATTAATTTATTTAGAAACAGGGTCGCACTTGGTAAAACAGGCTGGCCTTTAATTCAGAGAGATCCACTGGCCTCTGCCTCCCCAGTGCTGGGATTAAAGGGGTGCAGCCACCGATCCTGGCTCCCCCTTCTTGAATCCTTATTTGTAGTCTCCTCAAGAGCACTTTCTCAGAGCTATAGTTTTAAAGATAGCTATAGCTTCTGCTCTGGGTGACCACATTCGGAACAAGTGTCTGTACTGTCCTTAACTTAATGAGGTCAGGATGGTTGCTTCTCCTACACCTGCTGACTTCAGTCCTGTATCTGTTTGGGGAGCTGCCGTCCAAAAGATGCCAACTGAAGGGCTGGAGTTTTCTATTTCCACAGGGGTCATTTGCTAGCCTGTGAGTATGGCTGTACCCTGGACTGCTGATGTCCGCAGAGGACTACAGCAGCTTCCAGAGCCTCTAGAACGTTCGGGATGCAGAGGCAGAAGCCATAGCAGCAGCAGTCAGGAACCACGTGCCTCTACTTCCTTCCCCTCTTAAATTTAGCTGATAGGGTGGGTTTTCCTTTTTGAGACAGGGTCTTGCTATGTTGCCCAGGCTGTCCTTAAATTCAGGATCCTCCTATTAGTATCCCCCCCGTGCTGGAATGACAAGCCTTGCAGGTGGACATGCTTTCCAACAAATAGAAGAAAAGACAATACAGAAGAGCAAAGGCATGGGCGGCTATATGTGGAAGGCTCCCTGGCTACCAGAGAATTTGGATGGCGTTCAGGAGTCCTTTCCCAGGCATTTCATCCTCTCCTAGTTCGGTTGAATGACCCATGCACACATGTGGAGGCTGCCATCTGGAGATGCTTTGGTCCTCACTCCAGACCTGGACTCACCCATTATGTATTCATGGAGTGACTGCTGTCAACTAGAAGTGGCGAGATTCTAGGGGAAGGTAGATGAGCAAAGACTGCCCTTCGGAGTCATGTGTAAAGAGGGAAACGGACATGGAGACACATTGAAGCAGGTGTTAGGTTTGATAAAGAGCTGTGTACTATCTACACAGAAGCATTGACATGCAAGGTTCTAGGGGGCTTATCAGAGGGCTGATATTCCAGTTCAGTCTTACACCAGTCTTGCTGTGGTTTGCAGTGCCAGGGGGCTCAAACCTAGAGTATTGCACGGACTAGGCACCATCGGCTCCTTGTGCCAGTCTCATTCATTTATTGTTTTCCTAGCCACTAGGGAGGCCTAGGCAGGAGGATCATCGCTTGGGCTTGGGAGTTTGAAGCCAGCCCAGGTAACATAGAGAGACCCCATCACAAAGGAGAGAAAGAAAGCAGAGAAGGGAGAAGACAAAGGGGAAGAAGAAGAAGAAGAAGAAGAAGAAGAAGAAGAAGAAGAAGAAGA